GCAGACCTCTCCTGTCTTGCCCGCTGCTCCCCTCAGCAGTGGATTTCAGTCAGTCGGCCTGTTCTGTTCCCCGCTCTGTCTCCCTGACCCTGACCCTGGCCCCAGCAGTAACTCCAAGCATCGGGATTACCCTCCCTGGTTTCCTGAACACTCAGAGAGGTCAGTGGCATGTTCGGGTCACCCAGAGAGCCTGGACCAGCTCCAGCTTCCCGACTCTACAGGCTCGGGGTCCTCTCACTTCTGGACACACATGGTGGACTCCGCCTGTGCCCTCCACGCCCCTGTACCTCGGCCCTGCTGCTCCTGAGGCCCAAGCGCTGCTCCCGGCTCGCCTCTGCCATGGTTAAGCACCGGCCTGCTCTGCAGCCCCAGCTCTGGGGCCCCGTCCTGGAAGCTTCCAATGGGCTCCGGACAGTTTTTGGTTTCCCTGAGCTCCTGCCCTCTTCACACAGGCCTGCGCTGTCTGCTCTCAGCAGCCATAATTACCTGTTTACGGCTCTGGCCTGTTCCGGTGGAGGGGAGCTGGGGCCAAAGGCTTGACTTGAGAAGTGGGTCTGTTATCTCAAGACCATTATCACTCTGCCCTGGATGATAGTTATCTAGATTCCCCACTCATGGCCCTGCCCAGACTGTCTGCCAGAAATGTTTTTAAAGCAATTTCGCTGTTTGTTAGCCAGGCTTTCCAGCAATTGCCAGGTGGAGGCTCCAGGCAGCTTTAAAATCACTGGCCTGGCTGGGGGAACACAGGTGGGGGGGAGGGGCAGGAACCGCAGTGCCTCTGCAAAGGGTGGGGAGGGGGGAGAAATGGAGGGGGGACAGGAGGAGGAGGAGGGAGGGCAGGACAGGGAGACAGGGAATAGTAGAGAGAAAAAGAGGAAGAGAGGGAGGGAGAGAGAGAGAGAGAACTAGCCGAGAGCTCGAGAGCTCGTGCCCTGGAGTGAGATCACTAGCCAGGTCTTAGTGAGGTCACTAAGCAGGTCCCGCACCCTGGGCAGCCCCTTTCTCCAGCCCAGCCCTGGGTCCAGCAGGCAGGTGGCCGCCACAGGACTGCCACCTGCCAGCTCCTGGCCCCCTCGCTCTGCTCTCTCCTGCTGATAGCTGAAATTGGCGCTGTGAAGTTTGGGGTTCGCTTTTCAGACCTCCACACTGTGAGATAACACTTTAGTGTCTTTGGAGTTAATTTTCTGGCCCGCTGGAGGTAGCAGGGTTCTTGGGGTCATCTGCTGGGCTGGTGGGGAGGAAGCAGAGAGCCCCGAGGTTCAGAGGAGAGAGTTAAAAATCAGTGGAGGTGTTGTAGAGCAACCCAGATACAAAACGGGGTGCCTGACTGTGGGTCCTCACCCGCGCGCTTAAAAGGACTTATCCATGCTCTACTGCAGGCACACGTGAAAGGTTAATAAAAGGTTTATTGACAAGGGAAGGGAAATGAGGAAATGTACAGCTCAGGGAGAAAAGTGGGAGACAAAGTTTTAAATGAGTCCTGCCCAATCCGCCGATCAGGAATCCCAAAATGGCGCTCTGAGAGCTGGCCGCCAGCCAGGAGCGGTGAGGCCAGGAGGCGAGCGATCGCGAGCCAGAGAGAGCCCAAGGCCCACGTGTCTGGTTTTTACATCCAACCTGGCTGCCCAACTCCACCCTCAGGTCCCAGCCACCCTCCCTTGGTGGTGACGGGATGTGTCTTTCCCAATGTCTTGATGGCTTTAGTCTGGAGTGGGGGTGGAGTCCACAAAGCCTGTATGGGATTAGCTCAGGACATCACTTCCCCCTAACAGAGGGATTCCTCAAAATCCAAGTCTGCAGGCCAGACACCCAGAGGACAAGGTGACCTTGACTGACAGCCACGGGCATCCTGCCAAGCTGGGTCCCTTCGAGGCCGGGGAGCCTGGCCCTCACCGGCATCACCTCATTTCATCCCCAAGGTACCCCTGGCTGTAGGGAGAAGGTCAGACTTGCTCATTGGCAGAAAAGCCACCCAGGGAGCAGGGTAAGCCGGACCCCAGGGGAAGCCAGGCTCGCTGCCCAGAGAGAACTAGGGCTCCTCTCTCAAGGCTCCCCCACAGCCACCCACCTTCGCAGAGCCTCTCCTTCCCGCCTCAGGGGGGCCCTCAGCACCTTGCCCATGGCTGGGGCCCTCAGGGAGCTGGTGTTATTTCTGCCCACTCTGCAGAAGTGGGCGCTGCCGCTCTGCTCGCAGAGTACAGAGCCTGGCTGGGGGGGGTCCCTGCGCTTTGGGATGTAATGAAGGTCTGTCCCCATGTGGATCTGGGGCAGGGGCCGGGCTCCTGAACCCCAAGAAGGCCCACAGCTAGTGCCCAGATACCTGGGACATCCCCCGCCTTGGGGCTGCTGGGACGGGCATGGAGCTGGCCCTGAAACCAAGCTCTTTGCTCTTCCTGCCCCTCCCCCCAGGGACGTGCAGTGCCTCACACCCCTCCCAGGGATTCTCAAGGCTGAGAGGTGACTCAGCACCCTGTGAGCTGAGCCTCTAGCCAGGTGGTGGGCCAGGGCGGGGGTGAGAGCACAGGGAGGGCGGAGCGACAGCCCCCCCCTCTCCAAAGAACGTGCTGGCTGACACCTGCACCTGCAGCCAGCCCTCCTGCTGCTGCCTTCCATTTCGGGCAGGCACCTCACTCACGCACCTGTCCTGTCCGGCTTACCTCTGGGATATGAACGAGGGGCTAGTGATTTGCTCTGGGGTGGAACTTCACTGGGTGTGTTCAGCGTTCTGGAGTCCAGATAGGAGACTGCCAAAGAGTCAGGTGAAGGATGCCCAGCGCAGCTAAATGCTACGGAGAGAAAAGACAGTAGTGATGGGGCTTGGCTGCAAAGCCAGCTGGTCAGATGCCACCAGGCAAAGGCAGGAGAGGAGTAAAACCAGGATCTCTGTCACAGCCATCCTGGCTGGAGGCAAAGGCACACCTCCCGGGCAGGACCTGGGGGAGGGAGCCCATGCAGGGAGAGGGCCCCCGCGGTCCAGAAGGCCCCCCTCCCTGGGGCCTGGGACCTCCCTAGGACAACTGCAGAGAGATGCTGGCAGCAGGGTCTCGGGGTGGGGTTTATACCAGACGAATCAGGGTTCGCCCTGACCCTGGCCCTCGTGGCCTCAGGCCCCTGAGCCCTGGTTTTACTCCTCAAAATGGCAGCTGCAGCGCAGGACCCTAAACACACGCTACTGCAGCGTTCCCACAGGGCACGGGGACAGTGTCTGGGCTCCACGTTTGTCACCAGGTCAGAGCTCCAGAAACTCCGAGAAAAGGGCGGAGACCCCGAGAGGACGGCGGAGTCCGATGAGGTTGTTCTCAAGAGGCAGATGTAGGATTAACTTTGAAGAATGCTTATAAATAGCTTCATCTGGTAGCAATAAAAAAAAAATTACTAACTTCAAGGAACTCTCTTATTTATAATTGTAAACCACCCCCACTCCTCCTGCCAGTTCTTGCCGCTTAGTTTCTTGGTCACACTGCTCTTCCAGAGTCAGTTGTTTTACACACCCATTTTCTTCTTGCTTAAAGCTCATCTCCCCCAACCGGAGTGTGAGTTCCGTGAGGAGCAGCTTTTTGGGACTGTCTTGTTCCTTGAACCCGCAGTGCCCAGAACTGCACATAGCAGGTGCTCAGCAAACAGCCATCCAGGGAAGGAATGAAAGAGGGGTCACAGCCCTACGACCCTATGATGCTGCCCCAAGGCAGCTGAGGGGGCTGGAGCCGGCACGTCCCCTGGGAGGCTCACCTGCCCCACCTGCGTGCACCCCGCTGCCACCCCATGCATGTGCTGCTTGCTTCAAGAAGGTTTTACCAGACACTTGGTTTGATTTTATTATCCTTTAAGTCATAAACTCTGAGTTGCCATCGATTTACAATTTTATGTAAATTTAGGGGGTGCTATAGGCACTTGATGGTACAGTCGGTTCACCTCGAGGGCGAAACGTGTCCACGATCCTCAGCACCACTTAAGGGCTGTATGTCCTGAGTGTAGGGAGGCTGTCGTCCATCAGTGTGACATCGGATGGGTGACATCAGGTGGGTGCCACAGGGTGCTTGCAGACAGCCTGGTATGGGCAGCCCAGTCAGCAAGCCCTACCCTACATGATTTCAAACTGGTCTGGGTAGGACAGAGGGAAGGCAGCATGGTGCTCCTGAGCTCGGCCTCCAGGGGGCCATCAGTGAGGTCTTCTCTGAGAACTATGTCTGGGGATGCACCAGAAATGCACAGTGGGCAGGGCAACCACCTGGCCAGCCTAACATCTGCCCTGGAGGGGCAGTCAATGCACCACTGGCTGCACAGCCATGAAGCCAGTGGGTCTGGGTGTGAGGACTAGGATTGCCACGTGTTGGCTGCGACTCTTTGGGGAAGTGACTGAACCTCTTTGAGTCTTAATCTTCCCATCGGTCAAAAGGACAGAATCATAGCACTCACCTCTTGGGGCTTCCTAAGGGTGAGCAGGGATAATACGACAATGCTGGTCAGGCACCCTGGGCCCAGGCTGAGTGTTCACTCACAGCTGGCACATGGGCACCATCACAGACAGGAGCCTCGCCCTCACCACGTGCCACCCACCACTGTGAGCCCCTCTCTGTTCTAACTCTCAGCATTTCAGCCCAAGTAGGGAAATTGTTCTGGAGCCAGGACGGTGGGGCCTGGGGCTTATTTTAGAAAAAGACACCACCCTTCCTGGTCACGGGCAGGTGGAGGGCTTGGGCTGGGAGACCCAGATGGAGTCACAGGAGTCTCTGAGCCTCAGTGTCCCCCATTTGTAAGCCAAGACAGGACAGCCCTGATGGCGAGGCCCTCCTAGTCCTAACACACCTAAGCCGCTCCCCAGAAATGTCAGATATAATCATCTTCCCCAGGACGACTGCAAATCCAACCCAAGGTCTGTTGTCCAAGACCTGACTGCTCAGGGTCATTTTTACATGCTCAAGTGGTAGAAAAAAATTCAAAAGAACAGTGTTTTCAGGGCAGGGGAAAATCATGAAAAATTTGAATTTTAGTGTGTACACATAAAGTTTTATTAAGCGCAGCTATGCTCAGTCACATATATATATGGCAGCTTGGAGCTGAGGGGCAGTGTTGCATTGTTGCCATGGAGACCGCCACGTCTGAGATGTTTACTGTCCAACTCTGTACAGAAAATATGTGCTGCTGCCCACTGGTCCAGCGTTGCCTTGAGATTACTCACCGCCTTTGGAGTACTTTGCGATTTTCATTCTCTCTCCAAAGGTCACTGCCTCCAAAGATCATGACTATTTCAAAAATAAAACAGAAAGTGTTAGGAACTCTTTTGCTCCTCCCAGCTGCAGGGGCAGAGATCTGTGGAGCAACAGCCCCCACCCAGGTCCTGCAGGGTCTGCTCAGGGCAAGCGCCAGCGGGTGTGGGGCCAGCTGGCCGCGTGCTCACCTGCGGAGGTGTAGTTTAAAGGATGCATCCCTAAAAGACCCGAAAAAGTATCGAAGAAGCTAAACCTGTCGAGTGCAGTGTGGCTGAGCACATGGGCTGGGGGGAGACAGACCCGGTTCCAACCTCTTCGCCCTACTTCTTTGATCCGGGACAAGTCACCTAACCTTAGGCTGGGTGAGTGTCCCTAGCTGGGGTAACGCAGCGTCGCCCGGGTTAGTCTGTTAGGGCCGACACAAAACACTGCAGACTTGGGCTTAAAAGACAGGAGTTTATTCTCTCCTGACTCTGGAGGCTGCAAGTCCAAGCTCAAGGTGTTGGCGGGTGGGCCTCTTGTGGATGTCCATCCTGTCCCTGTGTCCTCACCTGGCCCACCCTCTGTGTTCACTCCACCCTCGCCTCCTCTTCTAAGGACCTCATTTTAATGTAATCACCTCTTTGAAGACTCAGCCTCTGGATACAGTCACGCGCTGAGGTCCAGGCGAGGTTCAGGACTTCAACACAGGAATCTGGGGGGACAAGGTTAGCCCATAACTCTGGCTCATAGGATGCTGGGAAGACTCACTGAAATCAGGAACGTCCAGGGTAGTCTCTGAAATATGAGTACTTAGTAAACCTCAGTGCTTGTTTTCTTAGTGATAACGATGGCCATAGCCACTGGGGCGGGCTCGGCAATGCGTGAGCAAGAGCACTGGGGTGGGGTGTCCCTAGTGGCTTCTGAGCAAGGCCACTGGGAAAGGCCACTGTGTGGCTTGTCCGTACACAGCTCCAGGGGTGCGTCCCCATTGTTTTGTGTCGATTAGGACATTTTTTCTGGCTTGAATCAGCGGAAAAGCACAGGTCAAGCCTTTGTGAAGGGCCTGGGCAGCCTGGGGTGAAGTTGCTCCCCTGCTTGACAGTCGTTGCTCAGAGAACATGGGTGAGCTGCATGAGGGAAGGGGCGCCTTCTGTTTCTCTCACTGGTGTTTTCTGACCCAGCGTGGCTCCTGGCACTTAGTAGGTGCTCAGTAAATATTTGTTGACTGAAATAAATTAACTGGTTATAACAACCATTCTTTCCTTCTATTAAACCAGACTTCATACCGTAGGGACACAAAGATGGAGGCACAGAGTATGTTACTTGAAGACCCACTGTGTGCGGGCCACCCTCCTCTTTCATTGTCCTCTCTCCTTTTCCCTCCATGAGTTCTTACACTATCACATGGTAGATTGTTCTGGAAAGAGAATGAAGTCTCAGTCGGATCCAGCCACTTCATTCTCTGAGCTTTAGCTTCTTCTCAGTTGGGAGTAGTAGGTGAAAAGCTTCGCAGAGTGCCTCACATAGTAGGTATTCTAAAAATATTGAATCGATAGAGTTTTACCATCTCTTCCCACCCCAAGATGGTAGGAATCATTCTCTCTGATCCAGCCCTCAGCTCCACTGTCTGCCCCTGGGGCTTCAACGGTGAAGGGAGAACAGGAGACCAAGGGCAGCGTGTGGGAAGGGAGGTGAACAGGAGACCCCAGCCAGGCCACATGTGCAGGCCCCGGCTTCTCCAGCCGAACAGGGCCTTTGGGGCCAGGGAATGGCCTTCTTCCTCTCTGATTCCAGGATGTGTCCCAGGCCCACATGTAGCCAGGGTCACAGGTGGCTTGGGGAAGTCAAGCCCCAGGGTAAATGCAAGAACCACCTAGAGCTCCAGGCCTGGAAAAAGCCTGGGCACCCAGGACCAGGGCTGAATGGGCCCTTTCTCCTTCTGTAACAGACACTGTCTTTGTTTGTAGGTTTGTTTGTGCGCTTGTTTCCCCAGGCGGTTTCTGGTCTCCTCCTCCTCCAGGGCTCAGCCTCGCGCAGGTGCCTCCATGAGCCCCGATTTCCAAAGCATTGATGGCCTCTTCCAGGCAGGAGATGGAGGGGGATGGGGGGTGGAACAACTGGAAAGGGAGGGCTATACCCTTCCCAAGTCTAGTTGGGATGACAAACTAGCTTAGCAATGAGGACTGGCCTTGAGGGGGCCTTACCAAGGCGGGGACATGCTGGGCCTGAGCACAAATTCTCAAATAGTGAACCGCACTCGAAAAACCATGTCATCCCCGACCTCGACCTGTCAAGACCCAGTTTTACTCGCCAGAAGGAGCAGCTGGAGACAGAGCTCAATGCCTTCCAGCTGCAGTGACTGAACTTGAATGCAGACAGTCCAGTCTCTGGCAAGAACACGCGCTCATGTCTGCTCTGCCCAGGTCAGCGCCAATCTCTCTATCGCTACCCCTCTGTGGGCAGGATGCAGCCTCCCAAGCTCTCTGGCCTAGCTTCCTCCTCTCTTAACTGGGATGGCAGCACCCTGGCCGCCTCAGCCTATGTGGTCAGGAGGGGGTGAGTTCCTTCCCAGGAAGCCCTTAGCTGCTGCTCAGCTGCAGATTCCAGCTGTTCATGCTTCCTCATCCTCAGGCCATTTCAGGGACTTGCTGCTGTTATGCCCATTTACAGATTGGGCTGCTAAGTGCAGAGCAGTGGGTGACTGGCCCAAGGCACCATGCTACAAGCGGTGAGAGCTGGCATTGGGACGAGCTGCTTCTTGCCAGTGCACCATGCCAGAGTCCAGCCTGGGGAAGGTGCACCCAGAGGTGGCGTGGAGGCCAGTCCCGGACACCCAGAGCAGCAGAGGATCAGGAGAACAGAGGAAGGCCAGTGTGGTTGCACTTTGAAGGAAGAGATGATGTGCCTGGTGGGCTTGTAGGCTCTGAACCAGTCAGGGTAGCCCCAATGTCAGCCCCTGTTCCCTCCTTTTTGGGTTTCCCTTGCCAAAACCCATGCACCAAGCACCCTAAGTAACTGGGATGGCAAAAATCATTCTGTAGGTGGGTGTGGGAGGGGGCAAGCTGGTCCAGGCTGCAGGCACCAGAAACCCCTACGTTTCCCCTACATTCCTCATGTTTTGACACAGGCCAGGCTCGTGGCCTCCTCTCAGCTTCCTCCCAGCCCCCCAGCCCTCTCCCTCCCACACAACAGAGTTAGGGGCTCCCACCCACTCCCATCCACCTGGAGGCAAATCAGAGGCCTCCAGATGAAGCAGACCCACCCCAGCACTGACTATGCCTAAGGACCCCCCTAGACTCAGAGAAGCAGCGCACACGCCATGTCTTTTTCACACAGGGAGGGTCTCTCCAGGGGGTTCCACAAATGCAGCACACACCCCCTCTGGGATGCGGGAGGGGGCTGAGGAGGTGGAGAACATACGTGACCAGGACCAGCAAGGTCAGCATAAACCCTCCACGGGTAGTCCTTGGGCCTCCACTTGCTGGCGTGAGGCTGGGAGGGTCTCAGATGAGTCTCTGGACCTGGCTATGCCTCCATGTCCTCCTGCGTGAAAGGAGGGAACTGGGATTGCAAACTCCCTTTGCATTGCTCCCCAGTACTCAGTGCCCCGACTGGCTCATCCCAGAGCTGGCACTGTGCTACCCCCTTGCCATTCCCAGAGCCTGGGCCCGAGGGCACTGACCTCAGAGCCGGCATTTGCTGACCCTGTGAGTACTCAAGGCAGATTTTCTTATTTCACTCTCAGGCCCAGCTTTTATCTCCACTTTCCCCAGGAGAAAGCGGAGGCTGGGAGGGGAAGTCGGCTGCCCTGGGCACTGGGTTAGGGAGGGAGGGAGGAAGCCACAACTCACAGCCAGGCTGAGTGACTCAGGAACCTGCTGGCTCGACCCCAAGCCCACCAGGACCCTGTGTGCTCAGTGCTCCCAGAACTTACCAGAATGCTCGGCTGGACTGCCAGTAGAACGAAACATGTGAAGAAGCTGTCATGGGCGGTATACAGTAAGAGGTCAATAAATCAGAGTTCCTGGAGATGAAGCCAACCACCCAGGATGTCCAATAACTGCATCAAGTTCAAGTGTCCTGAGCAAGGCGTGGAGAGACCATGAATCAGCCCGATAACATCTTTCCCTCTGAGAAAATGGTGGAAAAGCTTGTTTTTCTCACTAACAGATGTTTTGTGTGAGCTGAAGGAAGCGCCAGGGTTCAGGGGGTGGTGCAGGTTGGCAACATCCCTCACTGATTTCAAATGGTTTGTTTTCCATTTCCAAAGAACCGTTGGTTCATTGGATTTCTGTTTTGTGGATTCCACTGGGGGTGGGGGGGCCAAGCACGAGGAGCCCTGTAGGGTAACCCGAGTGGTCACTGTGCCCCTCAATCCCTGCGCACAGAAGCACAGGACTGCTGCTGGAAGGACGGGGCGGCAAGGGCTTCTGGAACACCAGCAGACACCGGCCTGGGGTTATCGGTCGTATTCTCAGCACTTTGCATGAAAGTAAGCAAAGGTGGGGCATCTCACAGCTAGTGGCTCTTCACCCAGGTGCTGGCATTGCACGACATGGCTCCATCTCAGGGTCGACAATGGGGCTTTTTAGCAAAGCGGAGATCGGGGGAAGAAATGAGACCTAAGGCCACAAATGGCATCTGTCCCACGCCACATAGTGTCCACCAATCCAAACCAAAAGTTGCTCACGCAAGATAGTGTTGTCCCTCCGATGGAAGCCTGGCACTGGTGGCACACGGGTAAGCGGTGGACCAGGACCCAGCTAACCTGTGGCACCTGTGGTGGTGACAGGTGCTACTGAGGTCACACTGCCGCAATGTGTCTCCTGAGGCCGAAATCAAGTCTCCTGAAGCTGAAGTCACAGCTCCTCCTGAAACCTCTTCCAAGCTGAGTCAAACCTTCCCAACTGACTCAAGCGTTCCCAGGCAGCCTCTCTCCAACCAGCTGAAGACTTGACAAACTGAGTCAAGCCTCCCCTCTCAAGCTGGCAGCTCCTCTCCCAGGCAGCTCCTCTCCCAGGCAGCCTCTCCCCAGCAGCCCTTCTCCTCTATCAAGACAAGGGTCTTCTGAAGCTTCAGCTTATATCTGCTCCAAGGCACCCGCCTTTCAATCCTGATTGGTCCATTTTCCAAACCAGCTGTTTCCAAGTCTTCATTGGTGCCGGTGCAGCCTGACCTAACTGGTGTCAGCGGGACCTCAGACCTTGTCACTTTCCAAACCAGCTCAGGATTCGATACCAAAGCCCTGGTCTTGCAGCCAACCTGCTCCGCACTGTGGAGTAGCTGGGCACTTGCGCTCAGCTGCATCTGAATGGCACTGACCCTCCTGTCCCCAAGACTGCCAAGGTTTATTCTCTCCTGTTTCCTAAAACCACAGAAATGTCTGCGCCAGGCTGCTGTTGTGCAGCCCAGGCTGATACTGCCCAGTTAGGGGCCCTGCCACCCTCAGAGCCCCAGGAGGGCTACTGTTACAAATCCACTCATGGGCGAGATGATCACGACCACCATTCCCCTTATAGATGAGACACTATAGCACAGAGAGGTCAGATCTCTTGTTGAAGGTCACACAGCTGGTAGGTGGGGGAGCTGGGGTGTGAACCCCAGCTTCTGCAGCTCAGTGAGTTCGCCAGTCATCTGTTCTTAGTCTGTTGCCTCTTGTGCCATGAGCCAGCCCTTCACCCACAGTTCTGTGCTCCAGGGTGTAGTCTTCCATGTGCTGAGAGAGCAATCTTTGTTCAATATTTTTTTTTCTGATTGTTCACAATTTTGTATTGACCCAGAGAAGAATATGATAAGGTGCCCCAACCTTGAAAGGACTAAGTCTACATTTACAGTTGGTGAAATCGAGCTGAAGACCTCGAGCAATTTGCCTGAGTGCTCACAGCTGGGGGCGAATGAAATGGATTCCATCTAGGTCACCTCTCCCGTACACCCCCAAGCATGCAGAGAAGGTGCTTGGTGGAATTGCCAGGGGGTGCTGATATTCTCAGGGCCTCCAGGGAGGTGCCCGGATTTGTTCTCTGGGCTTCCACAGGCAGGGCTAGCTCCTCATTGGAATGTGCAGGGGAGGTGACTGGTAGTCAACCTAGTAAAGAGTCTCCGTTGAGGGTGTCCGTGATTCTCGGAGGAAAGCTTGCATTTCAGGGACACAACGGTGTCTCCAGAATAGGGAGGCTGAGAATGGTGCCCCAAGTTGGCACAAGGTGGACAAACATGGCACCCCCTTTCATGTTTGTTTCAGAACTGTCTAGAATTGAAAGTGCTTCAAGGAAAATACCCAAGGCGCTCATGCTTTCCCACACAGCAGGCAGCAGACAGCCACTCAGCTGGGAAAATATTATTCTGTACGTTCCCCTCCATGATCCCCTCATAAATTCGCATCGATGAAAATCCAGGAGGAGCCAGTGTTTATAGAAGGCTCTGATCTTGCCCTTCTTGTTCTTATAAAGGAGACTGAAGTTAGCAAGGAGGAAAAAAAGAAAACATTCTTTATTTTTCACCTTCTTGTCTTTGTCTGAATGTTTGCATGAATACAAAGAAAAGGAACAAAAAGAAAAGAAAAGCAAGGCTCACACTGCTGCAAAATGAAGACATCCTGGAGGAAAAGCAGGTTGGTTCCTCAAGCCTGCCCGCTGGTGCCATCCCGCAGAAATCAGGACGTGGAAGCCAAGACGCCTTCCTGGGAAAGGCCTCATGGTCCGGCCGGGGAATGTGGCCTCTTTCCAATCTGGGTTCTACATGAATTATACATGAGTTTTTTTTTTTTTTTTTTTTTTTTTTTGCTTCCTCCCCCATCTTTCCTGAAAATGGCAGAGATTGCAAAGCAGAATTTATCATCACACACACAGGCCCTGCCCTCACTGCTCTTTGGCAACGGTGAGGCTTTTGGAAACCTGGGTCTCCCCGCTTCATCTTGGACTCTTCTTGCAAACGGGAAGAAGTGGTCACCCTCCCCAGCCCCACCAGCCCAGGATTGCTGGGAGAACGAGCTGAGATGACATGGAAGACACACTGCAAGCTTGACTCCTGCCTATGTGCTAAGAAAAATTAGGTCCTTTCCTCTCTTAAAAAAACTCTCCTAACTGGATTTTTAAACCGTAAAGCAATTCATTCTCATTGTATTCCGCCAGACACACACACATCTATTTCATAAAACAGTAACAACCTTCTCGTGGAGTGGACCATTGCTTGTCTAGCCAGTAGCCAGCCTCCATTCCTCTCTTAGCATTAAAGACCTTGCGTTATCGGTGCCACCAGATATAATACACGTGATGCAATACAGTATCTTACTGTAACCAGATAAAAACTACATTTCCCAGCCTCCTTTGCAGTTAGGTATACACGGGACTTCTGGGATAGCTCTGGAAGAGAGCCAGCCAGGCGGCCAGCTCAGACCACAGGTGGCCTCCAGGCTAGAAGACATTAGTCAAGGGCGGTGAAGCAGAAAGACAGAGCCTGGCCTGGAGACCGTCTAGCTCCACCACATTAGTTCTGAACCATCTATTCAATATTTCTGAACTTCCTTTTATGAGAAAACTAAATCTCTTTTTTTACCTAAGCTACAGCTTTTCTGAGTTTTCCATTGTAGGGACCTGGATTTAACGGCAACTACTAGCTTCTCCTGTTCCAGCCCCACCTCCCGACATGACTGATACTGGCAACGGCACCTTTCTACAAGTTCCTTTATGTCCATGGCAAGGACATACCTACAGATTTACACCTGTGATATGTTTGTGTGTGTGCCTCTTGGTGATCGCTACCAGCATCCATCCCAATGTCACATACCTGGGCCTGAGTGCCTCTCACAGGCCTCTCACACAATCTTTAAAATATCAGGCTATTAAACAAGAGTGTGGGAAAATCCTCATTTATTCAGCAAGTCTCCTGTAGTGACGAGGGGGATTCTAACTACTTTTCAATTGCTACCACCCTTGCTGCAACAGGCACCTGGCACAAGCACCATTATCACCACACATCTAGCTTTAGCAAGCACTGCCCAGTGGGCTCGCTGACTCTTTCCTCTCCGGCCCCCCATGATTCTTCCTTCTATACAAGAGGAGAGAGAGGTTGGAAGATGATGTTGCAGGTGCAACAGAGAAAGACAGTGGTAACAACCCAAGGCCCTCATTCTGATTTATCCTGTGTTTGGTCTCAGTAAGTATTAAAGTGATACCCAAATAAACTTGATGGAAATAGTGTTCTACCGTTCTCTGCTTGGACAGAGCTGCTCGAGGGAGCTCACTACCTTCCTCTTCTTTGGAGGTGTGGGATGTTCTTACATTCTGTGGCGATAGGACCGAAGAGAGAATGACCATTGGCAGGGTTTGGGAAGGGGCTGACTTAGACAATGTGGTTACAGAAAGGCTCCTCTGGGAAGGCAGCTTCGAAGCCAAGACTTGGGGAAAGGGCAGGGAAGTGAGGCGCCCCAGGCAGCGTGGGAGTGAAAGCTAAGGACTCCAGCAGGGAGGGACAAGCCTGAGAGGAGCAAAGGCTGGGCTCCTGGAGGAAGGAGGCCAGCGAGGCAGGAGGAACCCTGAAGAGAATGAAGGAGGGGGAGACCTCTTGGGAGCACCTGGGACACCCCAGTCCTGGGGTGGGACTTATTTCACACCCATCTGTGAAAGGAGGTTCTGTCACGGCCCTGTTCTCTGATCTCTAGGCATAAACGCTTGGAGACCCTGGAGTTCAGGCCTTGAAAAAGGGAAGTGCTACTTCCCCCACAGTATTTTTAACACAGCACAACAAACACTGCTGTCTTCCTGTGTGGCTGAGGCCTGGGCCAGGTAGGGGCTGGTCATCCTCAGCAGCAGTAGCCTGGCCCAGCCCAGTGGCCCCGAGGCCAGGACACCAGCAGTAGCTGCTCAGTCCCTGCCAGGCTGGTGGCGCAGGGAGGAAATGCAGGCCAGAGGGACACAGATGTCCTGAGAAGAAGCCCCAGGCCAGGCCAGATCTCTGGAATATGCAGTGGCCCGGGGGAGAGCCAGGTGGGGTGGTGCCCAGGGGACCCTGACCAGTGAGGCGCAGGCCTGAGCCGGGGTGTGAGACTCGCTTTACCCGCCGTCCACTCCCAGGTATCTCTGCTTCTGTGTCAGCTACTGATTGCCAGACACCACCAGGCCTTGGGTTAGGAGAGAGCGCTGTCTGTGGAGGGAGGTGGATGGCAGGAGTGGGAGCAGGGAGAGCCGAGGGGCATGGAGGGAGCAGAGCAGGCCTGTTTCACAGTCCGCTCTTCCCGGTCTACACACACATTCCCACGCCCCACACTTCACACTCGGATGCCCCCCCCCCCACAGACATGACATGGACACATCACACACCGACACCACGCACCACATGGGTTACAAGATACCACATACACACACACACACACACACCACTCCCTTCCTCCTTGATCTCAGGGGTGCAGTTGGGAAGTGGGAATCATCAGAGGCCAGCAGGGCGGGGAGCAGGGACAGAGCGGGAGTTTCTCACAGGCGCTTCCTTTATCGCCCGAGGCACATTACTCTGCTAGCAGGTCCCTGTTCATCTCCTGGCCGATGGGGGACGGGCAGCCCCAAACCATGCTGAAAGCAACAGAAACCCGTCCTCTCACAGCTCTGGAGGCGAAGCCTGCGCTGGATGAGGGCGGGCTGGCTCCTCTGGGCCCCAGGAGGGAGCAGGGTCTGGGCCACGCCGCCCTGTCTCCTGGCCTCTGCGTGGGCCAGCCCGACCTCGACCTTCCTTGGCTGGCACAGGAATCCAGGCTCTGCCTCTGCTTCACGTGGCTCTTCCTCGTGTCTGTGTTCAAATCCCCCCTCTTTCTCATGCTTGGATAGCTGACAGCAGGTTTAGGGCCCCCTGGTCCGGCACGCTCCCGTCCCCAGGGCCTCACTTACATGGGCAAAGACCCTTTTCCAAACAAGCTCCATTCACACATTCAGGCGTTTAATTTTGGGGTCCACTGCAGGGTACGTGAATTTCCCCAGACTCCGGGAGGGAGTCTTTGCTATGAACCTAGAGTCTGACTCACCTCTGACTCCACACACCCTCTGCTGTGATGTGAGAAGAACAGGGTCTCCTTCCAGCCTCTGGGGGGTGGGGGTAGGTAGGGCAGCCAGAAGGGAGGGCAGCCCTTTGTGACCTCAGCAGGGTCACAGAGTTCTCCTTTGCTTCTCCCCTGGGGTGACGGGGGCTGACTTGAGAACCCAGAGGTGTGCTTCTTTGCAGCTGCCCAAGGCCCTGGAGCAGATGAGGAAACTGAGGCCTGAAAACCATAAGCCCAGACACCAGCCACACCAAGAGGTTGGCTAGGGACTTGAATCTGGATCTTTCTATCACCTGGGAGAGGACCCCGAAGCAAGAAAAGATTTGTCTGCTTTGAGGGCTTGAAGGAAAGTCAGTGTGGCTGAGGTGACACTGGTGCTGAGGTGTCAACTGGTGGGGAAGGGCCCAGCAGGGAGCCCCCCAGGAAAAGAGGGGGCCCTGCTCTAGGCCTGGCAGCTGCCCCATGCCACATCTGTCCCTCAGAGGCAGACCCAACCCTTGTCCAGGGCCAGCGCCTGCTTCCTCAAGTTCGGCCCCGTTGTTTCTATGTTTAACAATGCCGAGGCAGAGAGAGTGGCGGGTCATCAGGGCGACCTCTACAAGGCGGGCACCACCTTCTCCAAGCGGGGTATCCTCCAGGCACCCACCGAGCCCCTTCTGTCCCCTCTCTCCAACAGACAAGGCATTGGACTCAGAGGAGGACAGCCACTTGCCCGAAGTCACACAGCCGTTAGTGGTGCACAGAGGCCAAGCCTCGAGACGCCTCCGGGGTCCCGGCTCTTTGATGAAGCCCTCTGCTGCAGAAAAGGCCTCAGCCCTGCAGTTCTCATTTTACTCAATCTGGGCCTGCCCACTGACTGTTGCTTTGTTGGTTTGGGAACAAAACAATAAAACAACGTGTTATATAGACTTGTTTTGCTCACAAGCTCAGGTCTCCAGGGGCAGGCTCGGCTGGGCCCCTTGGAGTTGTGGATTCTGTGCACGGAGTTCCTGTTTGGAGCTCCCAGCAGCCCCAGCCAGAGGAGAGGAGAGGCGTTTCTGGAATGCAATGAGGGCGTCTCCCTCCAGTCCCTGGCGACCAGTCTTTGGCTCAGGACTTGACCCCAAGGCCAGTTGTGTCTCGGAAGTTTCTGCTGCAAGGGTGGGCACAGGGGCCTGTTGTCAGGTAGAACAGACTTTGCATCTTGGGGACCCTCCCACCCTTATGTGTGACCTCAGCAGGTGGTTTAAGCTCTCTGCACTGTGTCCCTGTGTGCCCAGCTCAGGGTGCCCTCCGGAGAGCGAGCTCCTCCATGCCAGTTCAACCTCGGGGGCCCCTGCCCAGAGGTGCAAATACTGAGCCAGAATGGCTGTTTTAAAGAACTTTCTGGTCCAGTGGGTGTGCCTGCACAATTTGGTTCTCTGCCCCCAAGTTTCTGGGAAAAGTTCCAGGCCTGAGCAAGTTTATCGGATTCCTTTTTTTACCCACCCAGCCTTGGATTTCATGGAAAACAAAATAGAGAAGAAAAAAAACAAAGTAGACTAACACAGTCAGTTACCGGAGGATCTTAAAGTCCTTCCGAGCTGGGTCTCCCACCGGCCTGTGGAGTGGGTGCTCTGGGTCAAGTGGCTCCCCTGAGTCAGCTTCCTCCCTCCCTGGGTGTGTGTGCGTGGTGGGGAGAGCTGGGGGTGAGGAGAGGGTGGCCGGTGCTGCCTGATGGCCACAGCTCTGGGCTCTGGGCGGCCCTGCACACTTAGCCCGCTGTGTCTCCGGTAGCAGCCTCCAGCCCAAGCTGTTTCTCTGGAAATCCGGAAATTTGTCTGTTTCTCTGTTTCATCTGTTATAGTTCAGCCACGCCCTTGCTGGGGATCTAAGGCCAAATCCTGCTCTGACTTTGGAGGTCAGCTCTCTCCACTCCAGGGAGCACCCCGCTGACCCTCGAGGGGTCATCATCCAGCTGCGGTGTCCTCGGCAGCTGGGGTGCCTTCTGCTCGCACCCTAGCCTCCCCTGCAGCCTGGATGCAGCACTGGATGATCAGCACCACTGCGCCCTGAGTCTGTCAAGGGCCTTTGGGTGTCAGTTAGGAGTTGCTCTTCCCCCGGTGGGCAGCACTGAGGGCGAGCAGCGGGTGTGCAGTCAGCCCGGTACAAGGGACGGCTGCCTGGACTCTGTGTCTATTGGAGCGAGCAGGGCAGGAGAATGGACAGGGACCATCTCTTCTGGGCACTGGTCCTGTGGCTGGCTGCCCCACCTTCCTGAGCCCTGGCATCTGTGGAGTTGCTGTTTTACCTAAGAGATGGGTCATGAAGCGGGCTCATTAATCACAAGGGTCCTCAGTAGAAGGGTCCAGAACGACCCAAGTAGGCAAGAAGGAGCTGTGAGCATGGAGCAGGGGAGCAGGAGAGAGGTTGATGTGATGTGGGGTGGAGCCCAGGAATGTGGGCAGCCCCAGAGGCTGGAAAAGGCAAGGATCAGTTTCTCCCCTGGGAACTCCAGAAGACACACGGCCTGCGGGCATCTCGGCTTTGCTCTTCTGACCACAGGACTGTGAGACGTGAGTTGCCTGACGATGGCCGTGCTCCTGGCTTTGCGCCTCCCCTGCTCTCATTTCCTGCAAGGCTTACCTGGGGCTGCTCCAGTGTCTCCGGTTGCTGATCTAGTTGCATCTCTCTTGGGAGACTGTGAACTGCGGGAGGGACAGATTCACCTTCACCTCCAGCGCCCGGTCTCTGGCACAAGCCTTGAACCGGCACAGGGGTCACCAGTGATGCCTGCAGAATGAAACTTTACTTCCCCGTCTTTCTCTCTGCGCGGGGCAAAGGCAATCCTTCCTGTCTTGAGCGCTTTCCACGGACCTGACGTCATCCAAAGGTGCAGAGGAAGGAGCCTGTGTCCGAGGAGGTCACTGCCTGCTTAAAAACAGGCCTTCAATCACACAAAATATGTGTAATGAAAATAATCTGGAAGATAAATTGCAAAAATGTGAACAATGTTTATCTCTAGTGGGTGGGATTTCAGGTGTCACTTATTTCCTTCTTTCCACATTTCTGGGCCTTACGTCAGGAGCGAGTATTTACTCTGCGCATAAAAGGGAAGAGAAACAAATGTGCCTTCGAGCACTGGCAGGAGCGGTTCACCTGGTTTGACCTGCATCATGGGGGTGGGAGGGGCTGAAGTGGCACGTGGCGTTATGGGCTCCACCATATGGTTCATTCCTTCCAGAAAACCATCTGCTGGACAAGAGGAAGGACGCTGAGCCCAGGAGACCAGTTTCTCTTCTGCAGCTCCCAGGATGGGCAGAGGTGGCCAGGGGTTGGGCAGGATCATTTACAATCCATCAGTGTCCACATGGTCTCACCCACTGACAACAGCACCCTGGGGAGACCCTCTGTACCTGTGCCTGGTGCTGTGAACGTCCACCCAAGTTCTCATTTTCTTCTTCCCCCAGCACCTCCAACAATCCCCAGGGCACAGATCAAGCAGGCAGAGCTGTGGTTCAGGAGCCCCCGTAACCACAGGTAGATGGGAGTCGGTGGGTACAAGTCCCCGGCCCTGCTCACAATGCATCCAGCATAGAAGTCCCCACTCCTCGCTCTCCCTCTTCCAGGGGCGCTTCCTGGTGCTGCCTACACACCAATCCTGTGTGAGTGTCTGATTGTTGGAAAATTCAACCTGAGACTTGGTGTCTCTCGCTGGCTCCTGCATCGGTGTGCACATCCCTTACTGCTCATGCGTCTCGCCCGCCCCCGGACACATCCAAGTCAACCGTCTTGTGCTGGTGCCTGCTCCTTCCCCACGGCTCCGGCTCTGCCCACCTGGCTTCTCCCTACACTCATGCCCCGTTTCCCCAGTGGCCCTCATCTTTGCATCAAGACCCACCCAAGACTTTCTTTTCTGGCAACCCTTGTGCCCAGGTTGCCCCTCTGGCCACATCCCTGGCTCCTCGGGCATCACAACTCTGCAGAAGAGATGTGGGTGTTGCTGACTACCCCTCGCCTGCTCCCAGGCAGTTCCTCCTCCTCGAAGTCAGCTGAGAAGGATGGAAACCTGCAAAGAGTTGGCTGTGAACATTCAATGCGGTGCTGGGTGGGGAGCCTGGCCCAGTGCTGGCCCCTCACGGGGCCTCAGTTGGTCTCCCCATTGGTGCACTGTGGATTGAGCTTTGCTTCTTTTCTGGGGCCTGGGACCAGATGGGTGGGGCTTTATGATTTCACAGAAATCATGCCATTGGCTGGCTTCCTAGTGACCCAGAGAAAGGGTCGGGCTGACCTTCATCGATGCGACCCATGCACCCAGTGTGACCCACACAACCCCCATCTTGCTAAGAGCAAAGGCAAAACTTGTGAGCTGTTTCCGGGACTCCTCCCGGCTTCCTCTCACGCCAAGGAAAAGCCGAAAACTCCACGGTGGCTGCAAAGTCATGCACGATCTGTTCGTCTTTCTTTCCTTACTGATCCTACTTTCTCCTCCATCTCCTTGCTCCCTCAGTGTGAAAAACAAGGTAAAAATAGAGGAGGGAGAAACAAGGAAGAATACACTCAAATAGCCGACAGATTCGTAATTAGAGTTTCTGAGAATGAAAACAGAGAAAAAAGAGAAATAACATTCGCATATGTGTGAGATTGAAAATTTCCTAAAATAAATATGCAGATTCGATGGGCAAGTTAGTTCCAGGAAAAAAAAATGCCAGCAAAATAACCAATGCTAAGATACAGTTAGTGAACTTGAGCATTAAGGAAAGCAGCTTGGGAGTGCTCAGGTAGAAAAAGCAATCACGTGTAAGGGAATAAATCCAGGCTGACTCCACTGTGCTACTTGCCAGAGATAAAGGTAGCGATATTTTGATGGCAGGACGGGGGACACAAACACATAAAATCCAGCCAAGTTGAATTTCACATATGAAGACAATAGACACACATGTGAAGTCAAGCAGGAAATTAGGAACCAGCATGTACTGAGCCATCCATTCCTTGGGAAAAGGGGGAAAAAAAAAAAAACAACAAAAAAGCAAGAGAAAAGCCAGTTGGAAGGAAGACCTGCTTTCCAACATAAAAGACAAGACACGGGCCACTGGGATGGAGAAGCTGCTAGGAACAGGCTAATGAC